GAGAGACGAAGTCAGTGTACACACCTCCAATAAAAAGAGAAATAAAAGAATTTACTAGACTTCTCTCAAGGTACTTAGGTACCTTCACAGATCCTAGAATAACATCTCGCACATAGTAGGGATTCAGAAAATGCTTCTTGATTGTAAGAATGACTCATAGATTTCCAACAGAGATCTTAATATATTGCGTGAATAGCTTCAGGAAAAAACCCTAAATCAAACTACACGGAATTATAGAATAATTTTAAATAAACATAATATAATTATTATAATTAGCATATAAATTATACGTAAAATTATTTTATCTAAAGAGTTTAAAATATGCTTTTTAAAAAATATTTTTAAGCAGTCATCTTTCAATATGGTTAAGCAATTCATTAGTGTATCTAAGGAAAGGATTTTGTAAACAAAGGCAAAACTTTAGCTCCGCCTCTGTCTTAATTATCACAAATTGCAAGTTAATGGAGCGAATTAATGAGATTTCGCGGCATTCATTTTTTTTTTTTTTGATTTCTGCAATAGAGCTTCCCCTCTGCTGAAATTTTGCCTCGACTAGGGTGCTGTTGCAGAATTCTTCCAGCAGGGAGCGCCCTGCACCAACACTGCAGGCCTCAGAAATCAGGATTTCGATGTTTATTTTATGTCAAAGTGAGTGAATCGAGTTGTTTTCAGTTGTTCTCTCGCGTTTAGCAAATGGAGTATACATAAACTTTCTTTTTTTGGCTAATTTGCTATTTTTCTTTAAAGACCAAAATAACTACCGGTATTTATACAAAGTTATCTGAAGCTTCCTCAAAGCCCTCCCTGCCTCTCCTTTTTTTTTTTTTGGTCAGGTTAATGTTTATGCACAATTACTTTAAAACTGGACTTAGGAATACTATGCTGCTGATCTCTCTGCTACTCGTGAAAGAAGAATGTGAATTCCTGGATGAGCTCTATAGAGAAAAGAAGCAGAATTAAAGTTTTATTTTTACCTTCTCCCCCTTGGTCCCATCACAGAAGCACTGGCCTTTGTCCTCACAGGCACAGCCCTAGGGAGAGGGAACGAGAAAAGTTCTTGTGTAAAAACAGCTTAATATGTCTCACCTGCCAGGTCACAAGCAGACATATTTTTCTGTTCTCTGAGCATCGAACATGCATCTTTAGGAGCCGTGTGGTACTGTGCGATCTAGCGATAGAAATAGAGTAGTTAAGAGAGGAGATGTTTCGTATAGAAGAATTCTCAGATGTGTGTATATCATTGTTATTGTATTTAGGAATTTTAAGTCATTTATTTATGAGAAGACAAAGTCAGCTGTCCCTTTTCTCTTCTTTTTGATCAATTTATAGTTAAACCATATGAAATTGCCATTCTCGTAGGTGGAACGTGGCCTAATGTTGGCAAATTTCTTAGGTTTAGCAGAATGTACACACATATATTTGTATATATTAATCGACGATATCCTCTACAGGTAATTCAAAGGTTTTCTTTTCTTGAAATAATGTTTAAGGCTGAGAAAACAATACCCATTATGTGTCTTTAAAGAGAATGAACTAATTCGCTAATGCTAGTATCGAAATGTTGTTTTCTTATTAAAAAACAAAACCAAAAATTTAGCTGTGAGCTTGACGACTCTTAGCTGTCTATCACCTTGACACGCTTACAACCCCAGCTTTCACACCTATGCACGTGCCAACTCTAAGAAAGGTCCATTTTCAAAATTTTTGTGCCAGCAGAGGAACAAAAATAGTTTCAAATAGTGGATTTAAAATTTATTTTGACACACGTTTTATGGTTAAATATTTCTCTTTCCTCTTTGGGTTAATATTAACTGAAAATTAGTTTGCTCTCCCCAAAAAAGAACATATTAATTGACAGCAGAGGCAGGGCAAGGATAGGAGATGTGCTGGCTAGTAGAAAAAAATAAAACAAAAATTGCCTCAGATACCCCTAAAGTGGGGACTTTATTTGTGCAATCGAAATAAAAATACACAAACAAAGCTTTCTTTAATTGAAAGTATTTCCTAAGCCTACAGAAGGCTAGGCTGTCATTCAGGGAAGGAATTACATAGTAATTTCAGACACTCATTAATGTTCGTCATCACATTTACACACATTACATTACATGAATGGAAAGTAACTGATTGAAAAGTCTGAATTCTCCCCCAGGGTTGGATATTCATTCGGTAGTTTTTGGAAGACTAAATTTCTCCAGTTTTTCACCCTTAGGAATTGCTTGGGGCCATTAAGTCATATCTGACTTTTTCAATCTTGTCTTTCTAGATCTTTAAACTTCATGCTCATTTCAGTCACATATTTAAGTATACCAAGTATCTACTATAATAACATACTAACCTAGCACACTAATATCTACGAAAGCAGTGGTTGGCAAAGTGTAGATTTGGAGACCAGCAACACCAGCATCTCCTGGAAACTTGTTAGAAGTGTAAATTCTCCGCCCCTCCCCAGACACAGTGAGTGGGCCTCAGGAATCTGTTTTAACAAGCCCCCTGGGTGATTATGATCACATTGCTCTAAACTAACACCTAACATCCCAGTCTGTCGGACAGAGCTAATTCTCTAAAGACTCCTAAACACTAAATTGTTGGAGACACTAATCTGCACATCTGTTTTTTGTTTGCGAGGTCTTCTTTCTCTTCCAAGAAAGTAGCCAGGCATATGTGCTCCTCACGTTCAGGACACTTTTGTCACTGAGTGGAAATCAAAAGCTACCTGAAGACAAGACTCCTCCAGGCTTTTGTTTCTGGAAATGTGAGAACCTGTTCAAGGTTGGTCCCCAAAATGGAAGGAGCAGGCTTCTGCTCCCATGCAGCATCTGGAGGAGAAAGCAGGGCCTCAGAAAGGAAAGTCTCAGTCTTGCCCCAAGGTGACTAGCTACTGAAGAAGGACCTGGAGGCTCAAGGTTACATGGCAGAGGTGGGCCACTGTTTTCAAAGGGACAGTGAGCATCTCTGACTCTTTTGCCTCCCAGACATCATGCAAACCTGGGTTCTGAGCATCTCTAGACCACAGGTGGTAGGAGGCAAGTGGACATTTCTCTAACGCGTGAGAAGGTGCACAGATGCCACCTTAATTTTATTTCTTGGATTAAAAGTCATATTCAGTCTACTACTGGAAATCTTTCCGTTTTAACTTGAGCAACTAAGTGTTTGAACTCCTTCGAACTAGATCAGGTCCCCATTTTATATGGTCCCATGGGCCACTTGCAGTTATATGTTTAATGTGTGTTTTCCCTGGCGATGCTAAGCCCCTGTAGAGAAGGAATTGTATGTACAGTCTCGTTCACATCAGTAACCCGGTAACATGTCCTGAATCGATGCTGCGGATCGATCGACTGGATCAACGAGTAGATGGAAAAATGGAGAACTCGTAATTTGTTCACATTCAATTTGGACCTAAAATTTTAAGGCATATGAATTATATGACTATCATTGGGCTGTCATGACTGAGATGTTTTCTATATGTATAAATTATGAACAACTATGGTTGAAGTGGCAAAGAATGAAACTAGAAGCCTTCGCTATTTTAACACATGTTAAAATTAACATAAGGCTAATTAGTTTTGGTTGCTGAGATACAAAAATATTTTTTGGAAAAAAATTTAAACTCTCAGAAGAGTTGAAAAATAGTATAATGAACACCTACACATCTTCTCATTTATTTTTAATGTTAACATGGTGACCTACTCCATCCTTTTTTCTCTCTCTACACACACACTTTTTTTGCTAAACCATTCAAAAATACACTACAGACACCATGCCACTTCACCCCTAATAATTCTGCATGCATCTCCCCCATACAAGAGTATGTTCTTATCCAATTACAGCATCATTTCCAAATGCACGAAATCAACACCGATGCAATAACTCCAGGTTAGTAGTTTTTTAAATAAGACTTTCAGCCTTATCCAAGGCCCTTGGTGACCATTAGCAAATGAGAACTTATTTAATTTTCAGCAGATCTTTCATTTCATAACAGAAATTTGGTCTCAATTAAAGTTTTCCCCTATAATCAATACCTGAAGTCTGATCTCAGTGAGTGCCTGTCACTATTTTAAGAACCCTGAGGACTCCCACGGGGGCACCGAGGGAAGGGTGTGGGGTTCTGTGTGTGAGCACTTTATTCTCTTGAATTTCCTCTTGCCTGGCGCCTGGCTTCTCATCGCCACCCATGACAACTCTGCTCTCCTTTTTTTTTGTCATCAAAACCACAGTTCCTGATCTTTTTCATTATTGTCCTTCAGTTTGGGTCTTGAACCTTCTTGGGTAACATGTTTAGGTTTTGTTTGTCATTTGGTTTCATTGTTTTCACATTAGGGGAGAAGCCATATTTGATGGCTCAGAGCCAGCTGGTTGGTTAAAGCAGGAAATAAAAAACAAACAAATAAATTGATACATGAACATGTTAGTTTATTTTAACTTAAAACATTTAATGCACACCAGTTCTTCAATCTTGTGAAGTAGGGCACAGGACCTTTTGAGGGATTGGATCTGCTATTTAGAGTTCTTTGACAGCATCTTGCTGGATTGCACCCAATGAACCACTAACAGCCTCTAGTTTTGGCTTCTTTGAAACAGACCAATTGCTTCAAGATGCTTGTGGAGCAACCTGAGTATAGAATCCCTCTGGATATTAGTCCATGTTTTCTTCTAACTCTTTAAATGTTATCTTAGCTACATTTAATTGATTAGTGGTTTTTCTGTCAATTTTATCAACTCTTCCTGGTTGAAACACACGTGTCTTTTTATGCATCCACATTTAACCAATTTGTTATTTAATATTTAATTAACTTACTTGGTTACAACAGTAAGTGCAACTGGCAGCAATGACTAACTTTTGGCAATTATAGAACCTCACCAGTGACACAGACGCGTGCTAGGGAGAAGCCCATAAGTGTCTAGTGGGCAGCGAGCAGTGGGCATCAATCGGTCTATCGTATAGAAGGTTTCGGGAGTTCTGGTTAGCCCAGCAGACAGGTAAGTGCAGAGCCATGGAGGGAGGGTGTACTCTACCTGCTCAGACACGTCCTCTGCGTCACCCACATGCACAGGGTCAGCCCTGCACACACAACCCCAGAACCGGACCCAGGGTTGTGCTCCCAGGCAGCATAACTGCTCCACGCTCGTGCCACCTTTAATTTTCAGTGAAACTGGCAAGGCGCAGCCTGTCCGTACATCTGCCCCGTTGGACCGACTAGGACTTCAGAGTATGCGACCATTTTGCTGACATGTGGATGTGCCACTCGACTGAATGAACTCAGATTACAGTCGGGGCAGAGCCCTCCGGCATTTGTTCAGTTGCTGCTCTGGAAGCCAGTGCTGCCTGAGTGACACTTCAGAGAACCTGGCACGGGGCCTCGCGAATTAAGGTGCTTCGCTGGTTTGGGACGGTGATGACAGTAGCCCCAGACTGGAGGGATTCGTTTTCTCTGAATTACGCTGTTTTCTCTAAAATAAAAATTTTAATTTGCAAACATGTCTAATAATTTAATTATTCAAACAGATTATTTAGCTAAATGATATGGCGGTGTATTTTCATTTTCATCGACTTGGATCTACTTTTTTGGACCCATTTTTTGAAACACCATGATTATATTAGCGGAGTAGAACACATTAATTACTATTCAAAATGCTAAATCCATGAAAAACCGGAATGACCAAATGCTCTCATTAAGAAATCTCTTAGGCAATGTTTTTATGATTTTTCCTGTTCTAACAGTCAAGTACCTCTTAGTTTCCAAATACTTTAACGAAGTAAGAAATCATTTGTCATGAACAGAAAGCTCTTAATAATGATTTTATGACTTTTCTCTCCCTGCTAACCATTAACGCTTCGGGAAGTCACCCAAGGTTACATGATGTTTTGGCAGTTCTGCATATTAAATAGTTAAACTTGTGGAAAATCATTCTTTTAACAGTCACATTCATTTTTCACAATGTCCTCACTTAGAATGCAAAAGAAACTTTGATAGTAGAGAATTTTAAAAGGGTTAGAAATCCAGAAATCACGGGCCTTAGGCCGGGTCGATGTAGGATCTATCCCCAGGTTTGCCAGCTCCTAACTGGAACTTTGGACAAATTACTTAATCTTTCCAAGTGACCTCATCCATAAAGGAAGATGTCAAGATCTACCGTGCAGTGGTTTTGTGGGGGGGATTTGCGGTGCTGTCACAGGGAGTCTGAGGAGTGAGTCCCCTGCACAAGACTCAGTAAGTGGGGGCCACCTCTCTCTCCTTTGTTTTGCTGCACCATCTTGTGCCAAAGGACATACGTGCTACTGTTTGATCTGTTTTTCCACTCGGAAGAACTAGCCACCGTCTTCCCAGACAGCTCTTCCTAAAGTCGTGTGTCCAGCACCAAAGAACTGTGCGCTGATGCTGAGGTCAGTGTAAGAGAGACTGAGAAGTATTTTTGTTAAACCACAAATGCAATAACCACACATATTAATAGTACTCTTAGAGTGCACTAATTACATTAGTCGATTAATCGAATATTATTTGTACGTGAACACATACATGACTTATTTGGTTAGTAAAATCTTGGTTTGAGACCCCAATGACACATGATGCTTATAAGTGAAAGGTGCCAAATCAAATATATCATACAAAGCCAGCAAGCACTTCCGGGAATCCTGATCAGCTGTCCCTTGCACATTTATCTTTGTCTCAACCCCTGTCATGCCCATGCATGGCCCACGTAGCGCCCGAACGTTGCCTCCTGTCCTGGGCCAGTGTGGCAGAGAGGTTAACGGTTGCCTTCCTGGGTCTAAATGCCAGCTCTGCCAAGTCGCCTGTGTGACTTTACAATAACAGTTGAGTACTTACACAAGTACCCAGGATGCTGGCTGAGGGCTGTGAAGGAAGCCAGAATATGTCAGCCTAAAATATACCTCTTTGACACAAAAAGTATTTTTTGAGCCAAAGACAATTAAGAAGGAGTAAATGCAGATAAAGCTTCTCCTTTTCTACCTAAAGGCAGGAAATAAATCTCCTTTTATTGAAGACAGACTCTTATCTGCCCAGAGATGGCACCAGAGGAACTGGCGAGCGAACAGACCTTGGTAAACTCACCCTTAACTTCCTCGTTACCCTGCCCCAAACCTCTCTTTTGTCTGTTCTTCACAAATTCATTGTTTCTTTGCCCAAAAAGGTCTCAAAGTTTCCTGCTCTGGTCATTTCTTCAAATCTTTGTTTTCTTGCGAAGGCTCCCACAGATATGCAAAAATTTAATGAAACGTGTGTGCTTTTCTCCTGTTAATCCCATCTTTGTGGATTTCATTTGCAGACCAAACAGGGGCCTTAAGAGGCTGGAGAAAAACTTTTTCTTCCCCGACAGCTGTTACTGTGGTCCACCAGCAAGTGGGCTATTACTAACTGGTTAACTTAACACTGCTACTTAAATGCTCATGAGCTGAGGGCTTATTGTGTTTACTGGACTGCAAGTAGGAGCTGTGTCTCATAATTCTTTATATCCCCCACCACAGGCAGGCAGTAAAATATTATCTTTTTATTTTTAAAACTAATACAGGATGTAATTATGCACGCATATATCTTATTCAGTCATCAGCCAGGAAGTAATTTCCAAATCATTTTGGATGTTTCCTCTTTCCACTGTGAGAACACGCTACGCCCAGCTTCTGAGCATTCTCCTGACGCAGAAGCAGCCCTCCCGGAACCCCCAGAAGCAGCCCTCCTGGCACCCCCTGTGTCTCCTCCCCCACGCCCGGCCCAGCCCGGCCTGACCTGGGTTAGTATAAGGGGAAGTTGGCAACGTTCAAAGCTGGTTAACACTCTACTGAGCAGCTCTGTTGATTTTGCAATATGATTATTGACCCTCTGCCCAGCCAATAGCCGGAGGCGAACGTTTTTGTGTGTAGAAAGAAGAGCTGACCCAGGATGACGACCGTGCCAGACAGACTGCATGGGCTGGCTTTTGGCAGGGCCTCTCTGCCCGTGTCTGCCTCGAGCAGCCGCCCGTGAACCTTGACAACACGCCCTCCGGTCAAGGAGACTGTCACCCGTGCTCTGCTTTCTCAGTGGCCCTGTCTTCCCCATCCAGACCCGTTGTCACCACCCTCGGATATCACAGAAATCTCACTGCAGCTGCCCCTTTCCATCTTTCGACCCCTGTTCAGAGAGACACCACTCGTCTAGACATCGAAACCAGCCACCCGTTTTTGATTTTCTGGATGACAGCGAGCATACAGATTACTGGCTCTGACAAAGACGGTGGCCATCAGAGGCCTCGGGAACATTTGGGAATAAACAATACAGTAAGGATGTTTTGCCCATGTGATGCAGTGAGTGGTAATTATATCTACAATCGTTAACTCCAGGTTCTTTAATTTTCTTGCCCTAAAAGGTTTTGAGTCCAGAAGGATTGAGAGGCCTTCGTCGCCCACGTCAGATCGACTCTTCAGGTTCCTACGGTGAGGATGCCGTAGAGGAAATGGACTTCGATTCGTACCAAAGCGACAGCAGTAGTTCACATTGTGGGGCCCTGACTGCATGAGGCACTGTTCGGGGCTCTCTGCCTTGTGCATGGTCACCTTTACACCTGGAGACAGTTCTGTGAGGTAGGTAATGTCGTTGTCAGCCTCATCTTCCAGGTAAGAACACTGGGGTTTCGAGAGGCTAGAGGCAGGAAGGAACAGAGCTGGGGTATCTGAACCCAGAACTACATTCTCAACCGCTGTGCCTTATTTTATCACTGACTGGCGCTGGTGGCTTCTGGGCACTGAGGGAGGGAGACTTCATATCATCTCCCTTCCCTCTGTCACTGGGCCCCTGATGATGTGATGTAAAGTCCCAGTGATAAACACAACATGATTGTCATGAAATTAGCCGTATAAATCAGGAGTTGGCACGCTGCAGCCCACAGGCCAAACCCAGTCTGCCATCTGGTTTTGTACCGCTTGTGAGCCAAGTTAAGACTGGTTTTTCTATTTTCAAATAGTTGGGGGGAAAGAAACACAAGAAAACTAACATTTTGTAACATGCGATGATTATATGAACGTTAAATTTATTTGCCTATAAATAAAGTTTTATATTTCATCTCTAAAAGAATGTGTGGGAATTCATTTTCTCTCTTGTTTATAGGTATGTACATAATATCTTTGATTTTTCCTCTTGGCCCACCAAAACTTAAAATATTTACCATCTGACCCTTTGTAGAAAAAGCTTCTTAATGCCTGATTACCCTATTTAATTATTAAATTATCTTGATTAAGCTACAATTAAAAAACGAAGATAGAAACTAAAGAAGAGATCAGCTCCAAGCTCCAGCAAGAGATGGTCTTCCACTTTGAACAGCCAAAGGAATCTCTCTTTCTTTTCTATCTCTCCCTTGTTTGCTTCCTCTTCCCCTAATACACTTTAGTCCAAAGTTTATGGTGGGGTGGGCATAGGTCATGCAGTTTGGAGAGTGTAAGAACCCCCAGATCATCTAATCCCCAAATTCCTAATATTTTGAACTTCAAAGAGCAGTAAAACAAAACACATTTGAAATGGAGACCAGCATAAAATTGTCTTGTTTATATTTTGCTATGTAAGGGCCATGCCCACCTCTAAACACAAACAAAAGGACGCTGCCACTCACCAACCCACAGCCAGTTTATCATCTATTATCATCATTATTCTAAGAAAATAGAATAATCATTATATAAGAAAAAAAATAAAACACTATAAAGGAATCAAATAAATGCTCACAAAATACAAGATACTCCTTTAAAGTGGAAACGAATAGCTTTTACTTCATAAACAATCTCTACACTCTTCTTACTTTTCTCATTTGTCTTGGTCTGGTAAAAGTCACTACTGGCCAACATAGGCTTGACTTTGGGAATCCCTAAACTAGTTACAGTTGCCCCCTCTCTTTGGTCCCCATCTCTTCTGTTCTGGTCCGCCACTATGGGCTTAGTGACCTATTGCTGCATGATTTGCTCTTTGAGAAGTGCGAGCAAGCTAGTCTCATACAGTGTAAAGCACGTTAATGAATTAATTTTTAAAAGTCTGACCTGTAACTGACACATTTTGTAGGAACCAATGCCTCTTAAGACACACACACACACACACACACACACACACACACACACACACCTGTCATAATGGCAGAAAATTCAAACTCTAGACTGACAGGCAGAGATGCATGTAGGGGCAGTGGGAGCCCCTTAGATTGCATGCCTGGTTTGCCTACGTGTAGGACCAGATCATTCAGGAAATATCTTCGATAATATTATTTTTTTTAAATGTGGCTCATATACAAAAATCACCTCCCTCTTTTTAATCTGACAATCAGTGAAGAAGTATTTGATGGGATTTTACCTACAAACTGACAATCAAGCCAGGTATTTCGGGGTTCTCATTGATATCTCCAGAGTAAGCTACTTCAGCTGGAAATACCTCTCCTTGGAGAAGTCACCCTTAGCTCTTGTCCACAAAGAGGATGACCACATGCCTTTCACTATCTCTACCAGCTGTTACTTGGCTAACTGCACCAACTGTCAATAGCAAATCTAAAGTGAACTTAAAAGTTTTACATTTTTCAGCTTTGAGTTCTGGGAGAGTTGTTAGCAGTTTTTAGAAACCTGTATTAATCAGAGAAATGTGAGACATTTCAAGGAAAAATCCACTTTGTAGCTGTGAACCTAAAAATATGCAAAAAGGAATGTAAGATGCTGAGGGTCACCATATGATGAGGCCACTTTTTTAAACAAAAGCCTTCGGATTCCAGAGAAGACTCTGATGTCACATTGTTTGAAAATGCAGACACTGCTTGAGTAGCAATATCATTCTGAATAATAAGCAGAAAAAACAGGCTCACTTGTGTATGTGAGAGTTAATCCCGAGAGGATTGATTAAATACCTTATATGTGTCCTTTCTAAAACCAGAATAAGATGATGGATAAAGGATAAAATAAAGAATTAAAAAGGTATGAACCCACAAGACAAGGAAAACATGTGAGAAGAAAAAAAAAAACCAGATGAACGTGTCAATTCATTTTTGGACGATGGATGGCGAGTGAAAGCTTTGAGTCAAGTGGAAGAGGACATTTGTGAATGCTTTGGCATGCATTCTCTGTTTCAATAAAAGATAATATAAAAACATTAAAGTAAGGCATACATTAAAAAACAAGACAAATATTTCTAGGGAGAGAAATGAAACGGCAACAGAAAGCAGTAGGAGGGGCTGATGGCTTAGGCAGCTGGAGTTCAGCTGCATCCATAACTAAGTCATAAAAAGACATCGTGACGTCTGCTCTCTTTCTTGGATTACTTGTGCTGTGAGAAGCTAGTCGCCACATCAGGTCAAGGCCTTATGAAGAGACTCACGTGTTGAAGAACTGAGGCCTCTGGCAATGATCTTACGAATGAGCTACCTTGCAAGCTAAACTCCCAACTCTATCAAGCTGTAGGTGTCTACTCGCCCAGCCTACAGCTTGACTGCAACTCCGTAAGAGGCTGTGAGACAGCGCTCCCCAGCTACGCTGCTCCCAGATTCCTGGCCTTCAGAACATATATGAGAGAATAAATGTTTGCCGCTTCACACTGCAAAATTCTGGGATAATTTGGTCGGCACTAATAAATAATACAGGGACTCAACTAAAATGAAAAGTTTGATAGAAATGATGAAAGAGAAATTCAGAAAATCTTCCCAGAAAATAGGACAAAAGGAAAAGAGATGACAATAAGAGAAAAAGCTAAGAAGGTCTGAGCACAATCCAGAATACCCAGTGTCTGACAAATAGGAGTTTCAGAAAGACAAAACAGAGAAGACGCAGAAGAGGAAATTATTGAAGAAATAATACAAAAAACAATTTGCTAAAGTGGAAAAGTCAAACTTTTAGATTGATAGGGCCCACTAAATGTCCTCCGCTCATAAACACACACACCTGAGACACATTATCATAACATTCCAGAACCCTGGGGACAAAGATCTCAAAAGCAAACAACAACAAAAGAAGAGTCATATCAAAGGTCTTGGAATCAAAATGGAGTTGGACATGACAACTGTAACACTACAGGGAGATATGGCAGGAGGCCTTCAGAATTCTGAGGAAAATTGATTTTCAACCCAGACTTTATACTCACCAACTGATATGTTAAGTTTGAGGAGACACAGACATTTTCAGATACATGATGAACTGAAGATAGTACTTCACAGGCGCCTTTGCATAGGAAACTCCTGGAGGGTATGCTCCACCCAAAAAGGAAATTGCATCAAGAAAAAGACACACATGGGATGCAAATAAATCTAAATTAGGATGAAAGACCCAGATGGAAGCCACAGGGAGGAGGGCCCTTGGGGACACCAAGAAAACAAGAAAATTATCTGATGCGTGTGATAGGAGAAAAATTTAAAACTTTAGGAAAAAGAAAAATTTGTCCAAGAAATTCTACAAAGGTGAAAAGTAGTGGCTCAGCCGTGAATGAAATTTCCATAATCACACACTACCAATTTAACCAAACATTATGATGTAAGCATAATGAGAAGGTTTGAGACAAAGGAGGAAGAGACCTCACGTGCCGAACTATAAGTCAATAGATAGTGTTCAACTGACAAACTGAGAAATAACTTTGTAAGCTTGTTTTCAGAAACATGAAGGTAAATAACTAGAAGAACTGGTGACAAGAGTTGAAAATGATTGCCTCTGCAGAGGGGAACTGGGAGATTGTATTTGTTCTGCCTTTAATATTACAAATATTTCATTATTATCATTATTATTTTTTTACTATCCGACTATTTTACTTTGTTAAAAATGCACAATAAAAAATGAAGTTCATCCAAAACAATAAAAAAGTAAGTTCATCTCACAAGCAGAAAATTTCCTCTTACTTTACATTTAAACTTTTATAATTTATTATTTGCTCAAACCAATAAGCATTCTAAGTTCATCTTAAGTGGTGTGTTTCTCCAATTTGGAAAACTACCAATTTTAGTATTGACTTTCTGGTAGAAAAAAAAAATACAATGTGAATAAACATAGGAAAATTTTAAAGAAAAATGATTCAGACGGTTGATGAAAAAACCTGAAGTTGACAATTCTCTGCAGACAAAGGTAAACCCTGGAGGTTTCCTGAACTTCCACTTGCTAAGGGCGGAAGCCGCACACTCTCTGCTGTTATAAATCATAGACTGTGAAGACTGCAAGAGGCCGTAAGATTCATCTGTCTCCTACAGATTCCGAGGTTGGTTCAAATTTTATCTGGAGCCTGTGACTTATAACTTTCCCTCGGGTAGATGAGCTGACTGCAGTTTGGGGAAGCACAGAGGCCATGCTGCGTGCCAGAGCTCTGCCAGTTTGGGGGGCCATGGCCCACTAACCTGTGGGCTTTGTCGTGGGGCACCCACCTTAAAGAATAATTGTTTGGGGCTGAATTGGTCTCTGGCTCAATTCCTGGTTGGGGTTGGTCACCGCTGTGAAACGATCTTCTCCCTAAAAGCAGAGGACAGTAGATACTGTCCTGTTCACACAGACTGGGACTGGACATATGCTAGTAAACCATGGCTATAACTCAATAAAGTATCAGAAGAGACTCTGATATCCTCAATTTGTTTTTTTTAAATGTATGATATAAACGTTCGGGGTGTTTTTACTGCATTTGTTATGATTAACATATTTCTCTGATAATACCAGTTCAAATCAAATTATGATCAAAAAAATCTCTCTCTTTAGTTTCATGGTATTCCAACTGAAATTTAGGATAGCAGTTCTCAATTTTTAGGATACATTAATTATCTAGAGCCCTTTGTAATCTTACTTTCTAGGAGCCCAGTCTTATAGAGAGTAGGTCTGAGAGCTTAGCACTTATATTTGAAAAAAGCAGCCCAGGCAACTGGGTTGTAGGGGTTCTTTAGACCAGGGGTCCCCAACCCCTGGGTCATGGACCGGTACTGGTTTGTGGCCTGTTAGGAACCGGGCCATATAGCAAGTGGTGAGCAGGTGAGCAAGCCATCTGTACTCGCAGCCACTCCGCAGAGCTGGCATCACCACCTCAGCTCCACCTCAGATCATCAGGCGTTAGATTCTCATAGGAGCACCAGCCCCTGGTGCCAAAAAGGTTGGGGACCACTGCTTGACCATAGTTGAAGAATCTTCTTTGCACATCAAGCCTTAATTGCGAATGAAGACTCATCTGAAAAACTATTATACCAACATCTGTGGTATTTATAAAATAAGGAAACACTTTACTTTTAAAAATAGAAGGTAGTTGGGATTAATTATCAACCCTAAATAAATTCTCTATTATGTCATTTCCTTGATTAAAATAATTTGTTCATTCCCTGTGGTCACTGGTGCCAAGTTTAAACTCGTCGGCCTGACATACGGGGCTTTTGGTGTTCTGGTCCCCACTATTCATCCTGTCTCAGAAGCCACTGGTCACCCCCGAGTTCTCTTTCACATTCTTGTGCTTTTCCACACGGTCTTTCTTCAGCCTGAATGTCCACTTCCACTCCCATTTCCTCAGCTAGGCAAAGTGCTCCTCATCCTGGAGCAGTTTAAAGGTTATCTCTACCCGGAAGACCACGTCCCTAAGTCCCTGGGGCCCTGGGTGCCTAGTTGCTTTCTCATCTGTCCTGTGCTCTTATAACACATACCTAATTGCATTGTCATTATTCGTTTACATGATTTCTCCACCACCTGACAAAGCTTCTAACGGGCAGCCACATTTTTTTTGACTCCTCTCTATGTTCTTAATAAAGGGGACATGGAGCAGAGGTGGCATGGGGGGAGCAGTTCTCCCAGGGGGAAAATTAGCTGTATCACTGACTTACTGGGCCTGGGCGAGAGTCCATGTACGTGGAAAGGTATAAAGAGTAATGGGC